GATCTCGCGCGAGAGTTCCAAAGAACGTCGACAGTTACACGCGGACGAGCGCCATCCCTATGACTGTTTGCTTGGATGAGAGGCCTGGCTTGGCTGCTGTGGGAGGGGGGGGGGCACTGACGCGGCGACGCGGGACCATATATAAGACATGTTTCACAGATCCCCCCCGAAAAAAGTTCATTTTCAGACCATACAAAACTTTCAGGAACTTCTGTTTGAGTGTTAAGCGCACAGTCAGCAGGGCCAAGACCCCTCGATGAAAGAAAACACGTCAACTTCCATGGAAATCACGAAGGATTCTGGGGACTTCTCTAAATTAGGGTCACTTTTTAGGGTCCTTTTTATAAGGGTGCCATACTATATTGGGGACCTGAAAATGGACCCTAATTTAGAGAACTACCCATATACTTTGAATTACATTGGGTTTGTACTGCGAGCCTAAACTCTAAACCCAAAGCCCCAAACCCTCAACCCTAAGCTTTGAACCCTGAAACCCTGAACCCTAAACTCTAAAAGGCCTATTCCTGAATTAAGGTTTTTCCCTAGACCGCTAAACCCCTGAACCCTAAACCCTAAACTCTCAAAGGTCTATTCCTGAATTAAGTTTGTGTTTGCTTTGAAGCCTCTAGGAAGTTCAGGCTCCAGGCAAACGCGGCCGAGCTCATCGATCTCTGCTGCAAGGCTGGCAGGGGTGTGAGAGAGGGGCCTAAATAATTACCTATATTATTTTTGGGGGTTCCTTATTAGTTTAGGCGTCGGCAAAGATTTGAGGTCTTATTGTTTTTTCGTGGTTTGTTTTTCTTGAAAGCCTAAGTGTGTGTGTTTATATACATACATACATACATACATACATACATACATACATACAGCTGTATGTATATACATGTGTTTATGGTTATATTAATATAAATGATAATATATATATATATATGTATATACCGTGACATATATATATATATATCCCTAAACCCTGAACCCCGGACCCGAAGCCCTACAAGTAAGTTACGTAAGGTGAAGCTTTTGGGTAGGCAACTCAGCTACCGACGGCCCCCAAGCCCGAGCTAGGGCCTTTCAAAAGCTTTAAGGCTTACCTAAACCCTAACTAACCTACCGCTTTAAGGACTTATACAAAGAAGTCATACTAGGGAGCCCTAAAAAGGTGGGTCTAGGGTTTAGGGTTTCGGTTTCATTAGGGGGGTGTGAGTTTAGGGTTTTAGGTACTCTCGTATGCTGCGTCAACATACTTCGCCCTGCGAAAGGCGCTAATATCCCAGAATTGAGGTCTCCGTGATACGGCTGATGATATAGATCCTGCATTACTCATAATGAGGAATTTGCCCCAAAGTATAGGTATACATGCAGGACTCTTATCATCAACAGTACGGATTTTGGTATTTGTCACAATGAGTTGTCTTTTAATTATCTGGGTGGCACTTTGGGAAACTTTCCAATGTCCCATACAAGTACCTATTCATAAATATTTGTTCAGGGCCCCGAAACTACAACCCAGTTATTTATATTAAGACATTCTGTATTGATTACGCTTTGAGGTCTTTATTGATGAAGGGCCCTAAACCCCAAACCCTAAACCCCAAACCCCAAACCCTAAACCCTAAACCCTAAACCCTAAAAGGGGCCTTGGGGCTCCTTGGTGGGCGATAGCCTTCGCGAGGTACTTGTGAGGCGAACTCGAGCCTGGAACAGACGGCAGGGGGTCGGAAGAATTCCTACAGCCCTAAACCCTATAAACCCTAAACCATTCCTGATAATAAGGTTCCTGAATGTTAGGAGATAGAGTCGGAATAAGTACTATTGAGTACTATTCCTGAGGAATCCTGAGCGTTGTGTTGCAAGACATTCCCCGCAACTCGATTCTAGTTTTCTTTACGGCCCCTACATTACCGACATTACGCTACATCTTGGAACTTCTTCATCCAGAAGACTCAACCAAACCTTGTCGCTTCTGTCGGAGCACCATACCGAGAAACCCTGAACCCTGAACCCCAAACCCCAAACCCCAAACCCTAAACCCTAAACCCCTAACCCTCAACCTAAACCTTCAACCCCGAACCCGAAACGACACGAGTAGCGTAACACGCTCTTCTCTGTCTTTCTACAAGAGACGCTGCTGCCAGGAGCCGGCAGTTTTAGCTCCTCGACTGTCATGAGCTAGGAGTTCTGATAGCAGCTTTCGCTCTTTATTGTGTTATGACCGCAAGGGCTGGCAAGGGGTTATTTCTGATCGTCTTCTGTCCGAGAAATGCAGCTTCAAAGTCAAGGCGTTTTGGTTTTCGGGCGTGAGGACTTTCGGGTTGGAGGCAATTTTGGATTCTGGATCAGCTATGGATTCTTGCTTGCATTTCGTTGCTTTGGGGTTTTCTATTTCCGAGGAATGTGAGCTGAAACTGTTCTCCGGGCGAAGACGAAGGTGAGGATGATGACGGTAACGATGATGTTGCTACATTTCACGAAGGGTCTAGCATCTAGGAGGGTTCATAGTAAACCCTAAACCCTAAACCCTAAATAGGTTGGCTTCCATTTGATGATCGTGATGAGGATCGTGGTGCTTATGCAGAGGAGCTCCTGCTGCCGCTGATCTTCATCCCAGTCACTTCTCCACTCTTCTGCGGCTGCTGCTGCTTCTACTAGCTCTGGGTTTAGGGTTTAGGGTTTACTAGTACTACTAGTACCACTACTACTACTGCTGCTACTACTACTACTATTATTATCGCCAGTCCTGCTGCTACTACTACTACTAGTAGTAGTCCTGCTGCTACCACTGCTACTACTACTCCTGCTGCTACTACTACGACGATGACAACTACATCCATTGCTGCCCCCTTCCCTGCAGCTGCTACTACTACGACCACCACCACCACCACCACCACCACGAATAGCACCGCTTCTGCTCCTGCTGCTTCTGCCGATGCCATAATTCGTACTGGCGCTATTAAGAGCAGCCTGGAAGTTTCCTCGGTGCCAGCAAGTTGGCATGTGGGTAGTTCTCTAAACCAGGGTCCCGTGTTTTCTCCCCAAGTAGCACGTAACCACTATAACGGGGACCCTAAAAGGGACCCTAATTTAGACAGCTACCCATATAGAGGCCCCTAAACCCTAAACCCTTAAAATCCTAAACCCTAATCACTTCAGAGAACTCACGTAGCTCTTCGGATTGAGGAGAGGATGGCCTTGGTTGATCGTCTGAGTCCTTGAGGGATTTAGGGAGTTTGCGTTTAGGGTTTATCTAATTAGGGTTTAGGGTTTAGGATGGTTTATTTAGGGTTTAGGGTTTAGGGTGGTTTATTTAGGGTTTAGGGTTTGGGAGGGTTTATCTAGGGTTTAGGGTTTGGGATGGTTGATTTAGGGTTCAGGGTTCGGGATGGTTGATTTAGCTGATTTAGGATTTGGGATTTCGTAAGGTCGGTACTTTCTTGGACGCGGGTTCCGCAGCAGGCAAAATTCTTCAGTAGAGGAGCGGCTGGCATACCATGCCTGTGCTTGACAAGATACCTCCCCCGACTAACAAAGATAAGTCGCAATCCCCAAATCCGGAGTACTGTAGAAGCAGTAAGAATTACCGATACTATTCTGGGGGTTTATTATTATACTTAGAGTATAACTAGTCTACTCCAAAACCCTATTCTGATTATTAAGGCCCCTACATGATCCTTAAATCCACAATCCGAACGTCATGAGGTGGAGATACACAAGTGGGTGAAGCGAACCTACAAAGGCATGGCCGGCCGTGAAGTCTTAAACCCCGAGCCCTAAACCCCTAAAACCCAAAGCCGTGAACCCCTAAACCCTGCACCCTAAAGCCCTAAACCCTAATCCCTAAACCCTACTAAACCCCAAACTCCCTAAACCTACACCCCTAAACCCCACACTCCCTAAACCCTAAACCCGTAAACCCCAAACCTAAACCCCTCAACCCCTAAACCCCTAAACCCTAAACCTCTAAACAAACCCCAAACTCCCGAAACCTAAACCCCTAAACCCCCGAACAAACCCCAAACTCCCTAAACCTGAAAGCCCCAGAGCCGGAAGCCCTACAGTCTGAACCTCCGAAGAAACCAACACCTAAAATCCCAGGGTTGAGGGTTTAGGGTGTAGGGTGTAGGGTTTGTGGTGGAGGGTTTAGGGTTGAGGGGTTAGGGTGAAGGGTTTAGGGTTCAGTGTTTAGGGTGTAGGGTGTAGGGTTTAGGGTGTCGGGTTTAGGGTGGAGGGGTTAGGGTTGAGGGTTTAGAGTGGAGGGTTTAGGGTTGAGGGTTTAAGGTGTAGGGTTTAGGGTGTAGGGTTTAGGATTTAGGGTATAGAGTTTAGCGTGTAGGGTTTACGGAAAGAGCCAAAGGCTTTAATGTAGAAGCGCTACCACACAGGAGTTAGTGGGTTACCGCCAACATGGAATCTGTTGAAAACTTGACGTTAAAACAGCCTTCAGTTTAGGACTTCGGGCTAGGGATCGGGCTTTTAGATTTGGGGTATGCCCGTAGGCCCCATAGTAGTTCCCTTTTTGTGGCTTATATTTGGGATTCTATTAGGGAATCCCTAAAAAGAACTATTATGGGGCCTATGGGTATGCCCCTTGTTTGAAATACGGGTTTGGCGTTTAGGGTTTAGGGGTTTAGGGTTTAGGGGTTTGGTTTTTAGGTTTTAGGAGTTGAGGGCTTATATAGGGGATGGCGGTTTAGGGTTTAGGGGTTTAGGGTTTAGGGGTTTGGGGTTTAGGTTTTAGGGGTTTAGGGTTTAGGGCTAAGCCCCAAACCCTGAACTCAACAGCCATCTCGGCCCCCTTCCGCGATAAAGCTTCAGCCGACTTCCTTCTCTAATCCCTAAACCCTAAACTCTAAGCCCTAAACTCCCTAATCTTGAATCCCTAAACCCCAAAACCCTGAACCCTGAAATCCTGAACCCTAAATACTAAACCC